GGCCAGACATTCTCCGCCAGAGACATGATGGGCACCTCAATGTACTAATGCATGCAACATATGTTTACACAAAGCAATGGTGTGAATGGCCCAAAACAAGATAATGGCAAACATGGTAACAAATGGCATTTTCTTACAGAACAATTTTAAAAGGATTTTCTAGGTAACCATACAAGGAGAAGGCTATATCGTATTCTATTTAAGAGTCAAGCAACACTCAGCAAGGAATGCTCTCTGACATATTGTGTGTTTAAAGCATCATCATCTACAACCACACTCGACATTCATGGCTTTCAATAAGTTGTTTGTGTTATGTCAACCAGTTATGGCCATACTGAAAATAATACAAAAAAATCTTTATTAGAGAAATAGGAAAAAAATTATTATTTTGTAATCATTCCTTTCTTTACAGGAAATAAACATGTATTTTCAATGAACGTATATAATAAGCTGCTATTATCAAAATTTATCTCAAAGGAATTTTTATGCAGCTTTTACATTTTTACTGCGCTATACTTTTATGATGGTTTATCCATATATTAGTAGGTGCTTCACTCAGTGACTATTTTTTATCTTTATTAGAGAAATAGGAAAAAATTATTATTTTGTAATCATTCACTCAGTGACTATTTTTTATCAGTACGTACAGAAAACTTGTTGAGGTAAACTAACGTTAAGCCACCTAGAGATTGCAGTACATTTATAGGGTGTTTTGTGACTGTCATTCCTGCTGGATATTTAAATCATGATCATTCATTTTGTAGTAGCACTCTAGCAGTCAGGTTGCTAGGATGTTATGTAAGTTTAGTATTTTAGGCTGCTCTGTAGTCATTGGAGCAGTTGTTCATTTCTTTTAGCTATTCTGAGTTTCACAGGCTACAGGTTGGATTTTAAAGTGTTACAAAACCACAACAGTAAAATCAGTCTGTATATGCAGTAAAGCATGCTTATTATACTCACTGTGGGAACCCAAGGGGTTAATCCTCAGCACTGTGTAAAAAGGATGTTTGATCCTGACTTCTCTGATACTTCCAGTGTCTACTTCCAGTGTCTACTAAATATCTCCTGATAGAACAGAGGCTCTGGGGCAAGCTGCTCAGTTTCGTGTGTATTGCTAGAGAGTTTTTTTTTTCTTGGGAGAGTGCATCAGCACAGGGCCAATCAGCACTGTCCAGACAGAGGGTCAGGGGTTCTACATCCTCCTACAGGAGAATGAAAACTCCTACAAGCTGTAACCAGTGCTCTGTTGGACCCTCATGAGCATACAATCTAAGGTCTCTAACTCACATTCATACATACACATACTAGGGCCAATTCAGACAGGAGACAAATAACCAACCAGCAGGTCTTTGGAGTGTGGGAGGAGACCGGAGTTCCCAGAGGAAACCCACGCAAACTCAGGGAGAACATGCAAACTTCAGGCAGGTCGTGCCTTGGCTTAGATTCAAACCAACGACCCAAGTACTGCCAGGTAGAAGTGCTAACCATTTAGCTGCCTCTATATTCTGCTTTTTTGCGCACATTCACCAGATGTTCTCCTGCAGCGATCTAGTCTGTGCATAACCGCCACAAGATGTGTTCACATCTGGATGATCTGACCTCACATAACATGCTTGGTCAAAAAGGCTTTTGTCCCTTTATGTGGACTATTGAATTTCAGCCATTTCTTCCTGAACACTTTTCACTTGTAGTGGATATTCTTTATGGTTTTCAATTCTTCTTGCTCTATTCCTCCTTTTTTTGGCACTCTTCTCCTCTCCTTTAAAATAGGTGCTGAATCACACCAGATATAGCCAGCATGTATATAAGAATCTTGCGATCATATGCATCAACATTCTCACTAGATGTTACTGCACTTCTGTGTGTTACCGAGTGTTGTGACATCATCCAAGCCCCGCCCTTACATATTTCCCCACAGGGATATGTGACTTCTTCAGGGAGTTTTACTGGATAGCATGCCGCTCATTCCTTATATAGACCTGATCGTGCAAGGTACTAAGGCATCAGCCAGTCCAAGACAACACAGTCCATGTCAAAGAGGAATCACAAAGCTTAGCCAGCAGTAGAGGTTTCTTTCCTGTCTCTGAAATTCACACAGAACACCGCAGCAGCTTTCAAGGGAACGATTGGTACCCCAAATTTAATTGCTCCTCCTTGCCTTCCAGAAAGTTCTGGAGCATGGGGAGTGTAGCAGGGCAAATGGACAGCATGAATATTTTTAATGCTGCAGCCAATCCCTGGGGAGGAGTGCTCAGAGGGTGGCTTAGGAGCACATACATAGTCTAAGCTGCAGAACAGCAGGGTCTTATCCAAAGGATTCTATCTGTTCAGGGAGGGGGTGGATACCTGCTACCTTCTGCCATTCTGCTGCTTCAAGTTGCTGTTCATCAAGGTCCAGGGGCCTACATCTGTGCAGGTACCGGACACCCCGAAACTTCACCTAAGGATCTGGTACACACTGGAAGGCACCTGGAGAAAGATGATTGGGTACAGCTGCTCTCCCTGGCCTTGTGAGTACTGGTTTGCTGTAAGATCCTAGTGACCAGGGGCAGACTGACCATTTGGAAACTCGGGCACTGCCTGAGGGCCCGGGTCAGTAGGGGGCCCCATGAGATGCCCATGGTACCTTTTTCATAGGCTTTTTTGAGTTTGGGCAAGGACACAGGGGCCCCATGATTCCCTATTGCCCGGGGGCCCTATGAGTTGTCAGTCCGCCCGTGCTAGTGACTATGTGCTATTGGGATTGCTGGGCCTTGTAGATCCTCTCCTGAGAAGTACAAACTGGCCAGACACAATATTCCCAAATGCACACATTCCTGAGAAATTGTTGTGAATCTCAGTTGATGCTTTAGCGACTACCGGCCTTGAACCATTCACATTTAAAGCGGAAGATATTTTACCAGCATACCAGGAATCTTCAAATGGGCCCAAAGCTTTATTCAGTGATCACATCCTATTTACAGAAGGAAGGTTTCAGAGCCACGCAGGACCCCTTCATCAATCATTGTCACATGTCAAAAAGCACCAAGAAATGGTTTATGATAAAGTGCTGGAGAGTACTGAACTGGCCAGCAATCTCCAGATGTCCAGATCTCAATTCCATAGAGCACCTGTGGAGAGATCTCAAAACAGCAGAAGGGAAAAGTAACCCTTCCAATCTGAGAGACCTGGAGCAGTTGTCAGAAAAGAGTGGTCTAAAATTCCAGTAGAGTGGTGCAAGAAATACATTGATGGTTACAGGAAGCGATTGATTTCAGTTATTTTTTTCTAAAGGGTGTGCTACCAAATATTAAATTGAGGGTGCCAATAATTTTGTCCAGTCCATTTTGAGGGTGTTGCATTGAAGGTGTCAAATTTGGCTTGTTGTTTCTCTACTTTTTTGTGTCATACAATAAAAACAAAAGAAATAGACATGAGAATGCCTAAACATTTGTAATTGCAACAGTTTTCTGGGCGAAGTGGTGCATTATCTGATAGAAATGCTGGGGTGCCTATATTTTTGGCCATGACTGTATATTGGAATGCACAATTTCTGCATTCTTGTACATATGTTCCTCAATGTACACTCACCGGCCACTTTATTGGGCATACCTTGCTAGTACCAGGTTGGACCCCCTTTTGCCTTCAGAACTGCCCTAATTCTTCATGGCATGGATTCAACAAGGTGTGGGAAACATTCCTCAGAGATTTTGGTTCATATTGACATGAGTTACTGTTACCTTTCTATCATCTCTAATCAGTCTGCCCATTCTCCTCTGACATCAACAAGGCATTTTCGTCCACAGAACTGCTACTCACTGGATATTTTCTCTTTTTCGGACCATTCTCTGTGGTTTACAGAGATGGTTTTGAGTGATATCCCAGTAGATCAGCAGTTCTTTGAAATACTCAGACTAGCCCGTCTGGCACGAACAACCATGCCATGTTCAAAGTTACTTAAATCCCCTTTCTTCCCCATTCCGATGCTCAGTTTGAACTTCAGAAAATCATCTTCACCACATCTAAATGCCTAAATGCATTGAGTTGCTGCCATGTGATTGGCTGATTAGCAATTGGTGTTAAGCAATTGAACAGGTGTACCTAATAAAGTGGCCAGTGATTGTAAATGGCCCTAAACATAGTACCGTTTGACACAGAATCCAGGATATGCATATTTCAGGCTGCCATTGACTTTGACATGCTGCTGGCAGGGAGACTGGACTGAAAACATCAGGATTTGGTGCACATAAGCTAAACTACCCATGCGCATGTAACCCAGGACAGCAGTAATGTGACAACAGATTGAATGAAACTCTAGATTGATATAAATACTCAAACCTGCATCAGTTTATGTCAAACTTGTACTTTGCCAATTCAGTGCAAAGACCCAAAAAAATATCAAGTACTTCTGGGTACAGAGAAACATATGACCCAACTTTGTTGATTTCTATTTAAATGCATTGACAAAGTACAGGTTATTTTAAGGTTGCATTTCCAAGTCTGACTGTGGTGTTTGTGTGTATTTTACAAAAAGTAGAAAACTTTGAAAGACTATAGATTCTCTTGAATTACAGGATCATTCTCTGAAAACTTGGCTTATTACAGCACAATGATATTCTTAAGGTCACAGACACATTGCAATGCTTCAATCATGGACAGGTTAAATGTTAAGAGTTCACAGTGAAAGACCATCCAATTTCAAGCCTTGAATGTCCCCTTATGTTGTCCTCCACAGTGTGATTCCATCTATTAATAATGCAGAAGGTGACAACAGCAGTGGCCAGTGATCCAAATATAAGCGTGAATGTAACCCCCAGGAGGGAAAGCTTCTAAAGGATTAGTATTTGTTCTGAAGTCTGGAAAATATTACCAATAGCTCGGATTTAATAATCTCCAGCACGGCCACTACACTACGTGGGAGCTGAATGTAGCCAGGAGCTATTTGTTGCTTCAGAAGTGAATTTTCTGCCAGCTCTAAGTTACAAACTTCTTTAAAAAAATAAAAATAAGGATATTTCTGAATTTTACTTACGGAAGGTCCTGATAACTTCGCTAGGAATGCTGAGTAAACTTTCTCCAAAGGAATTCACTGCCTTTACAGCAAACTGGTATTTGGTGTCGGAAATTAATCCTTTCAGAACCATGGAGTCCATCTGCACACGCTCTGTTATGGCAACCCACTCACTGTCAAGATCTGGCCTAGACAACAATGGAAAACGTGTTAAGATTCATTAGTGTTTGTTTTACTGAAAGAAGATGTCTGTGAAACTTCTCTTTATTCAGGTCATGGTGTAGATCAGGGGTCCCAAACTGCGGCCCGTGGGCCAGATGTGGCCCTTTGCCTGCCTTTATTTTGCCCTTGTGGCACTTTTCCTTCTGCCCTTGTGGCACTGATATGAGGCACTAGTCTTTCCACTGACACCAACAATGAGGTACAAGTACATCCACTAAAACCAAAGATGGGGCACTATTCCTTCCAGTGACACCAATGATGATGGGGCACTATTCCTCCCACTGATGCCAAGGATGAGGCAATATTCCTCCCACTGATACCAAAGATGGGGCACTATTCCTCCCACTGATACCAATGATGGGGCACTATTCCTCCCACTGATACCAATGATGGGGCACTATTCCTCCCACTGATACCAAAGATGGGAAACTATTCCTCTCACTGACACCAATGATGGGGCACTATTCCTCCTACTGACACCAATGATGGGGCACTATTCCTTCCACTGATACCAATGATGGGGCGCTATTCCTCCCACTGATACCAATGATGGGGCGCTATTCCTCCCACTGATACCAATGATGGGGCGCTATTCCTCCCACTGATACCAAAGATGGGAAACTATTCCTTTCACTGACACCAATGATGGGGCACTATTCCTCCTACTGACACCAATGATGGGGCACTATTCCTTCCACTGATACCAATGATGGGGTGCTATTCCTCCCACTGATACCAATGTTGGGGCACTATTCCTCCTACTGACACCAATGATGGGACACTATTCCTTCCACTGATACCAATGATGGGGAATTATTCCTCTCACTGACACTAATGATCTCATTCGACCACTGACCACCAAGCCTATAGCATTGTTTACACCCAGCAATGCCAGGGCATTTTCTACTCCCGCTGGCCACAGTCCAGTCCCCTTAATATCTGAAGGACAGTAAACTGGCCCTTTATTTCAAAAGTATGGAAACCCCTAGTATAGATAGTACATCATAATATTAAAAAATCCCCAAATAATGGGAGTTTAGTTCAACACACGAATAACATGATAAAATGTCAACTTTTTAAATATAACATAATATAAAATGTCACCAGGACAGAGGAAATCTTCTTGCCCACATAAAATAATTGGTTGTTCAATTACCCCAATTTAGACATACTGTATGTACTATATATTTGTAAGGCAAAAACAGCAGATTTCTATGTAATACAAGTGCAGGTGATAGACCACATCACAAATATCTGTTCCAAAGCTGAGAAATTCAAAAAGCTCTGTGAGCAGGAGACTTTTTGGATATTTTCCTTGAACACCCTTCATCCTACAAGGTGTAATGAGGAAATAGAAACCAATACAGTCATTTAACCTCCCTGTGGTCTGATTATTTCAGATTTTTGGTGCTGAAAGCAGTACCATTATTCTGCATGGAAATATGTAGTTTTTTTTATTGTAGGCTGTAATATTTAGGAATAACTCACTGAAATCTGTCCGAACAAGAGTCTAGTAAACATCCCGGGTATGATAAAATTTGAAACACAAAATCATAAATTATAATTTAATAAATAATCATAAAAAATAATAATATAATAATACATTTAATTTAATAATATAATCAAACCAAAAACACTGAAATTTGAAATATAGCGCCAAGTTCGCACATTGCTGAGCAAAGTCGCAAAATTGTTTTCAGTCTCTGATGGCGAATTTCTCCACGAATCATTATCACTCAATTCTGCAAGTCGTTCTGATTTACTATCGCTGTTCTCTAGCTGATCTAAACTCGCTTTTGACCTAAAGGGACGCTTTTTTAGACGCCGTGGACTTTTCTAAGTTTCCAGGCAGAAAGAACATTCAAAATGCAGACAGGAGACAGGGCAAAGCACTCGGGACAAAATGTATGTGAAATGGGTTGAAACAGCAATGTTTTATTATGAAAAATCGTTTTGAAAAAAATGAAGTTTTTTAAAATTTTCAAATTTCCCGCCGCCGGCGGCGCCCGTACGTCCCGACGTCACAGGGACCGGAACACAGGAGCCAGATGCCGGCATCTGCCGGAGGAGATGGCCGGGGACGCTGCAGGGGACACATCGCGGGAGCGAAGGACAAGGTAAATGCTGCAGGGACTCCCTATGCAGCGCTGCATGGTAAGCCCGAGTGTAGCTCGGGGTTACCGCTTTTGGTACAGACATTTTACCCCGAGCTACACTCAGGAATACCGCTAGGGAGGTTAAATGAGCCTGGTTATACAATTCAATCTCTTATAGTTTATTTTAACTTAATTTTATTTTTTTAGTTCTTTTTATTTCATTTGTTTCACATTTACAGTGGTTTTTGATTTTTTGTCTCCACATCATTGACACATTATTCAATTGTCCACTTTTATTATTTCATTACCAGCTATTTTAGTGTTGTTTGTTTTTTTTTAATTGTTTCTATTTTTTTCTGTTTTAATGTCTTTTGATCCTTTACCTTTTGCGGATTCTTCATTTGCTTCTTTAGAACATGATTGTTACAACTTTTTTGTAGATCTTTCCCAGAGAGGGTATTACTTAACAAACAAGGTTTTAAAATCTAAAGCGGAGGTTCAGTCTGTAAAAAAAAAAAATTTAAAATCAGCAGCTATAAATCCTATAGCTGCTGGCTTTTAATAAATACACACTTACCTGTCTCAGGATCCAGCACCGTCCTCACCCGGGCTAGTTCTTCACTATCCTCTAGGTATCTGGTGTCTCTAGGTTCCTAACTGTGGGCGCTGGCTGTGCGGCTTCACAGCCGGGTGCCCACTGAGCATGCGTGCCGTGCATTGTGAATGGTCCCACAGTCTTCTTGGACTTGTCACGTGTCCCAGAAGACTGGGGGAAGAGAGGAGGGAAGGAGAACTTCTGCTCAGATTGCTTAGGTCTAGTGGGAGCGGGTACCCGTCAAAATTATGTACCTACCCGTCCTTCAAAATTACATGACAAGTTAGGCAGAGAAGGGTGGTATAATGTCTTAAAGTGGATCTTCCCCTTTTGGGTGGAGATGTGTTCACACTCCAGACTCTCCAGGGGCATGAACTTCTCAGCTGTGTAATACCTGGGGAAAGGATATATTATGTACGGCACTTTTAGAGCTTACATCCACCATCTCATATCCTTCACTACAAGACACCAATGGAGGATTTTGAAACCTTCTGTTTTGCAGCACATTGTTTGAAAAAAAAATTGTAGCCAAGTGCAAGAACAGCATGTGCCTAAACTACCTTACATTTTATCACTCACATTCATCACACCCCCTATTATCAATGATAAAATATAAGTTAGGTGTACACCATCCAGGCCTATTATCTCTAATTATAACTGTCTTGCTACTAGCTAATTTTACACATCTGTGCCATGTTTGGTCTATTATGTCTTGTAAAACACTTGCCTGTACTCTTTGTCTCTAGTACATTTTGCCCTATTATCAATGATTGAAACTGTCCCACTGCTGCCCAATTTTATAGTGCTATATCCTATGCAGGACATCTTCATTTTTTAACTAAAGCCCCAGCTTGTGCTTTTTGTCTCTAGGAAATTTAGGCCTAGCCTTGTTATTTAAAACTTTCCTGCTCCTAGCCAATTTTAAACTGTTGCTCCAAGCAAGCTCTCCTCCCTTCCCGCAGTCTTCTGGGACACGTGACAAGTCCAAGAAGACTGCGGGACCATTCACAATGCATGGCACACTTGCTTAAAGAGCGAGAAATTAGACTGCTGCAGTGAACTACTAGACAATTCAATCCACCAATCAAAGCAGGTCCATTACTTTATATGTGTAAATTATAGCTGGACCTTGATATTTGAACATACTAGTAGAGCTTAGTACCAAGTTCAGTTATAAACACATAACTGCATTAACCTCCCTGGCGGTATTCCCGAGTGTAGCTCGGGGTAAAATTTCAGTACCAAAAGCGGTATCCCTGACATACACTCGGGCTTACCATGCGGCGTTGCTCTGGGAGTCCCTGCAGCACTTACCTTGTCCTTCGCTCTCGCGATGTGTCCCCCTGCAGCGTCCCCGGCCATCTCCTTCGGCCGATGCCAGCATCCGGCTTCCGTGTTCTGGTCCCTGCGAGCGTTGGGACATACGGGGGCCAGAACCGGAGGCAAATTTAAAAATTTTAGAAACTGTAATTTTCTAATAAACGAATATGACATAGTAAAACATTATTGTTTCAAAGCATTTCACATACATTTTGTCCCGAGTGCTTTGTCCTGTGCCCTGCCTGCATTTTGACTGTTCTTTCTGCCTGGAAACTTAGAAAAGTCGCTTTAGGTCAAAAGCGGTTTTAGACCAGCTAGAGAACAGCGATAGTAAATCAGAACCACTTGCAGAATTGAGTGATAATGATTCGTGGGGAAATTTGTCATCAGACACTGAAAACGATTCTGCGACTTTGCTCAGCGATGTGCGAACTTGGCGCGATATTTCAAATTTTGAGTGTTTTTGGTTTGATTATATTATTGAATTAAATGTATTATTATATTAAACAAAAGGATATTTTTATGATTATTTGATTAAATTATAATTTATGATTTTTCGTAAACGTTTTCAGGTTTTATCATAACACAATAATTATACAGGATGTTTACTAGACTCTTGTTCGGACAGATTTCAGTGAATCATTTTATTCCTAAGAATTACAGGAAAGGGCCTACAATGTAAAACGCCAAATTTCCATGCAAAATAATGGTACTGCTTTCAGCACCAAAAAAGTCTGAAATAATCATACCAGGGAGGTTAACGGACGTTTTTAACATTTGCCTGGAGGCCTAACACAGAAGATATTGGTCCAAGAAAACAGCACTGTAAGAATTTGAGTAATATTCATTCCCAAGGAGGTATACCTTTAATTGGTGTAAGATAAATCCTAAATGAATGACATGAAATGGCAGCCAGGATGGTGCGGTGGCACCGTCTGCTCCTCACGAGTCTCAA